GCCAGCGGCCAGCTCCCCCGACAGAGCCACGCCGCCCCTCTGACCCCACCTGAACAGGAGCCGGATCTGGCCTCGCAGCAGTGCTCCCCGGCTCCTTTTCTCCCAGCATCTTCCAGAGCTGTCCAGCAGCCCCGGCCACTTCCCCGTGCCGTGGTGATGGTGAAGCCGCAGCGTGAGCTGGGACACTCGGCCATGGGGTGCTGGTCTGGCACAGCACAGCTCAGCACCTCCGGGCATCTCTGCCCGTCGACCACCCTTTAGTTGTACCCATGGCTTAACTGCGGGGGTCCCACACAGCCGTGCCCCTGCCCCCCACTTCGTGCTTGCAGCTCAGCGCGGCGGGGGGGCTGCTGCCACACCCCAAAGGGGCTCTTCCCGTCCGCTGGGGGCTCTTTCCACTAAACACCTCTGCTCACAGCCCAGGATCCCATCACCGCATCCTGCCCTGTGGGGGTATTTTGTTTCACCCCTTTCCTTTCATACCTCCTCCCGTCCCTGCAATGTGAAGGTCAAGTTGGGGTGCCTGGGCCAGCTGGCTGGGTGCTGTCCTGGGTCACCGCCTGGCTGGGAGGGGCTGAACACACTGCACCGGGTGTCTGGGTGCTCCCATGTCTGGGAGCAGTCAGGGTCAGCACCACCAGTGCCGCTCCTGCACTTTTTAGGCATGGGGTGAATTGGTTTTGTACTGGGACATCTTCCCGCTACTACTGGGAACAGGAAGACTGGAACAATCCTCGTGTTCACGGGGGCGAATCGGTCCCCTCCGGTCAGGTGCTTTCTAGCTCTAGAACTGGAGTCAGAAATAAATCCGTTTCGTTTCTCCTCCAAGGTACCTGCTGCAGCCTCCGCTCTCTCCTTGCGTGGGAAGGGCTCGGTGGTGCTGCCGGGCTTCGGTCACAGTTCTCCACCGTAGCGGTCGCTTTTCACACGCAGACGCAAAGGGCTGGGGCTGGCTACCCTGCACCGGACCCCGGAGCCCCCTTCAGGGGTCACCTACGACGGGGAGCAGGGCTACAGGGGCTGCGGCGCTGGGTGCGATGGAGTTGAGTCCTGCGTGGCGGGGGGAGCAGCACTTTTTTTTTTTTCCCCCCCCCCCGGCTGATCCAGCCTTGGGTAGGAAAAAGGTGTTTCCTGTGCATCTGCTGACACAAAGCTGCTGGGGAGACAGCAAGGTGGGACGGCAGCCAGCAGCCGTTCAAAGGCCAGCCTGGGGCAGGCCGTGTCCCCGGGGGGGACGGGGGGACCCTCACCTCTCAGCCCCTGCCAGGGGTTGGCAGCACCATAAGGCGGCTTACAGGGGTCAGGGCAGGGGGAGGCAGCGGACGCCTCATGTGGGTTGGGGGGGGATGTTGGCTAAAACAGTTTTGGGGCGATGGAGGATGGCACGGGGAGAGCGGGACGATGGCAGGTGAGATGCTCAAGCAGGCACCAGCCCCGGCGTGGCTGCGCTGAGCTCCTGGATGCCCGTTTCTGCTTCTAGGGTGGCAGCGAGGGCCAAAAATAGCCCGTGCGGTGGCATTCCCTGCCTCCCCCTCCCCGCCATGCCCCTGACGTCGTGATCGGGGCACCTCCTCCCGCGTTTCCTCAGGAAGAAACCCAAGGCTAGTGGGAGGAAGAGGCCACACCACAGGAGGAACTGGACGGGACAGACGGACGCTAGTAAGGGGCTGGGGAGCCACCGGGACTCGGGCCCTCGTGCCCCACCGGGATGGGGAGCGCCCGGCCCATCCTCTGCCTCCAGCTGTGGCTGTGGGTGCAGAGCTCTGCCCAGGAGCTTGACCCTGACGGCAGGAACGTCTGCAGGTGGGTGCCATGGGGGTCCCTACTTGTGGCCTTCTCTCTCCTGGGGCCTCTCAGCAGCCCCAGGGGGGTCATCGTCCATCTGTCCTTCCACGGACAGAGACCTGCAGCCTGGTATTATGGGGGTGCAGGGACAGGGGTGATGCTGAGGACCATGGTTGGGGCATGTATGGGTATTTGGGGCACCCAGACCCTTTCTTCAGGGGTTGTTTCTCATGCACCCTCAGCGCGCAGGGCAACGGGGGGGGATGCGGGAGCATCGGCAAAACTTTCATCGTGCACCGGGTGGGAATCGTGGGCGTAACAAAACCCAAAGGGCTTTTGGAGCTGACGTCCCCTCCGCTTTGCTGCTACTAAGGTCTCGCCATCAACGGCAGCACCTCGCGTCGCCTTTGCGCCGTGTCGCTGGCAAAGCTTTGAGCTGCTCCCAGGACGGCGGGGACCCGACACGGGCTCCATAGCAGCAGAGCCGGGCCGGCCCGCCCCCCCGCCCCACCCCCACATTTTTTTTCAGCCTCTTAAATTTCCTTCTATTTTGCTGGTTTCCTTCCGGAGCGATGTCCCCAGGGCTGCGCCGCCTTCCCGCTTGCCGGGCCCAGCCGGGTCAAGCGCCTGCGTTGGCTTCGCCTTAGCCAAAGCTGCGAAGCCGCATGTGAACCCGCACCGGCCCTGGCACCCCCCACCCCGGCTGATGGCCCCCGGGTCTCTCCCGCAGGGTCCCCACCGGCCCCGTGTGCTGCCCCGGCTGGAAGCAGGAAGGGCGGGAGTGCACGGCTGGTGAGTGATGGATGGTGACGAAGCCCAAAGCTCGGTCCTGGTGCTCAGCTGGGTGACTCCTTCACGGCACTGGGTGTTGGGGGGAAGCCCTACAGCTCTCCCTGAGTGGCGATGGTGGGGTGTTGCACTGTGGGGACCCCCGAACTCCCACCGAGCAAGCTGCTAACGGTGCTGCGGCTCAGTCGGAGGGATGGAGCGGGAAGACGGATGGTGGTTTCCCCAGGAAGGTAGCCTCGGGGGAAGGTGGCGGGGTGGCAAGTGGTCCGGCAGCGGGGTGCGATCCCAGGGGAGCTGCTGTGTGCTGACGTGCCTGCCCTGCTGCCGACAGCGCTGTGCGAGGGGGAGGATGCCTGCGGGGTGGACGAGGTGTGCGTGAAACCTGGGGTTTGCCTCTGCAAACCCGGCTTCTTCGGAGCAGACTGCAGTTCCCGTGAGTATTTCGCCAGGGCTCAGGCCTCGCCATCGGCTTTGCCAGCCCGGACGCTCCAGGGGGGCTGTCTGTGACCCTCCCCATCCTCGCCATCTCCTTCCCTTTGCAGGCTGCCCCGAGCAGTACTGGGGCCCCGACTGCAAGCGGAGCTGCCCGTGCCACCCCAACGGGCGCTGCGACCCGGCGAGCGGGCGCTGCACCTGCGACCCCAACCACTGGGGAGGGCTCTGCCAGTTCCCTTGCCAGTGCGGCCCCCACGGCCGCCGCGACCCCCTCACCGGCTCCCTCCGCTGCGCGCCCGGGTG